GAATGAAAAGAGAGAGAGAGAGAGAGTGAGACAGAAATAAAATATTTGATATTAACAACAACAACAACAACAACAACGAAAACGCATACAAAACCTTTCCAGACTAAAAACCGAATATCAACCTCAAGATGCCAACTAATTTTCACCATACTTATCAAAGAGAGAGGGGAGAATACAAAAGTGGGGGATGCGAGAATTGAAATTACGGGGATGTAAAACCGGAAACGATTTCGACAATAGGAAGTCGGAAAAGTCCCAATCACTCGATTTCAATAATAATTTAAAAGAAGAAAATTTTACCTTATTAAGAACCAACACCGCCACCGCCGCCACCACCACCTTGACCACCAGCACACCACCATCGGGATTGGAAAACTTTCATTTCTAATTAAATCGGATTATTTGAAGATTGAAATGAAAATGGTGGATAAGTTGAAAATTCAATTCGATTAAAGAAAAAAAAAACCGTAACTTTTCCAAAAGAAAAAAAAAAGAAAAGAAAATGTCTTCGATTTGTAGTTTATAAATATATATATATATATATATATATATATATATATATATATATATATATATATATATATATATATATTCGGGAGGAAAGGAGGGGAAGTATTTATAAATAAAGCATAAAAACAAGAAGAAAATTTTCAACCGGAAAAAGGGAAAATCCTAGATCAACGAACTATTTCGAACAACGAATGAACGAATGAATCAACGGTTCGTAAAATTATAAACAAATTCGAATGTACTGTGTGATAGAAAGAGAAAGAGTGAGAGAGAGAGAGAGAGAGAGAGAGAAATTCGAAACAAAAAAAAAAGGAAAAAAAATTTATTATTTTTTCCAAAACGATTTCTTTCCAAATCCGCCATTTCCCTCGGTCCCATAATTATTATTTTGTAAAACAAACAAACAAATTGCCCGACTGGATTTGCCCCCCACTCCCCGTCTCTCTCTCTCACTCTGGAGATTTCCAAAAATTTTTTCCTTTTTCACTTTGACAGAAAAAAACAAAAAAGGAAAACAATAAGGTAATCAACGTGATGGTTTTTTTTTTTTGTTGTTGTTCCAGGTTTTTAAACCGGAAGTAACCGGGGACTATTTCTAGCACAGAAAAAAAAAATTATTTAAACAAATAGTTTTCATACGTAAAAAAAACTATATCCGGAAAACTTTATTATTATTATTATTATAAACATAAACATAAACGTCAAGTCAGGTGATGCTTTTCTCTCTCGAATAATTTTTCATCCTCTCTTTCTTTCTCTCTCTCTCTTTCTCTATCTTTTTTAATAAATAAATAAATAAATAAATAATGAAAAAACCTTTTGAACCTTTTCCCTCCATCCTCCCCATCCGTTTTCTTTCATTTCATATTTTTAATTTTCTATTTTTTCGATATCATCATCAACATCATCTTCTTATTCATCATCACCGCCATCCATTAATTCCAGACAAGAGACAACAAAAAAAAGGAAAAAATTTAATTTTCAAAGTTTTATTTCCTTTTTTCCTTTTTTTTTCCTTTTTTTCCTTTTTTTTAATTTCCTTCGTTCGAAAAATAATATAATTCAAGATTTTTTTTTTTTTTTAAAATTAACCAACGTTTAAAACGGGGAGAGATACGACGAATCACCATTTTTGTGAAAATTTTCTTTTTTTAAGTTTCAACGGGAAAAAAAACGAGTTTGGAAAATCCGTGACGTCATTCGTCACGTGACTCGACGCAATAGTCACGTCGAAAGAACAACTATAAGTCAACCGTCAATACGACTAATCAATCAATCCGATATTTGGCCGATTTGGAGTACACACAGAGAGAGAGAGAGAGAGAGAGAGAGAAAAAAAAAGAGAAAGAAAGAGAGAGAGAGATAGAGAGAAAGAGAGAGAGAGAGAGGGGGAAAGAAAGACAAAATGTCGTCCATCAATCAGAAGACGTTCTCTCCGACACACGTTCATATGAAACTCATCGTTGGAAAATTCTAAACAAATTTTTTGGCTAATGACGAAGAAAAAAAAAACGACAAATGAAAATTTACGTACAACAACAACAACTACAACAACAAACAACAAACGACGACGAGGAAAAACAAAAAAAAAAAAAAAACTTTTATTTTTATTCTTTTGCGTTTGTTTTGTTTTATTATTATTTTTTTTATTTGATTATTCATTCCGATTTTTTTCCTTTTCCGTTTTGTTTTCCAATTCTTTTCTTTCTACTCCCCCTCCCCACCTTCTTCCCCTTCCCCGCAGAAAATAAAAACCGAAAATTTCCCCAAAGACATCGTTTTTTCTTTTTTTCTTTTTTTTTGTTTATCCTTAACGGGGAATATTCAAAACAAAAATAAAAGATTTTTTTTCTTTACTCTCTCTCTCTCTCTCTCTTTCTTTCTTCTTTTAAAAATTAGAAATTGAAATAATGATGATGATGATAATAATAATAATAATAATAAATAAAAACCGGAAAACAATCGTCGTCGAATCCTTTTTTTTTTATTTTTCACAGACTGGAAAAGTAATTTAAATCAAAAACGATGATGATAATAATTAGCTCGAAGGGAAAAATAGAAAATGAGGAATAAGAGAGAAGAGGAGGAGGAGAGGGACCGGAAAACCAAAGACGTAAATTTGACCGCAACAGTTAAAAGTCAGTACGATTGGAAAAGTCGTCGTTGTGATAATGATGATGATGAAAAAAAGAGGGAAAAAAATGGGGGCCGAACGGGAAAATGTTTTTTTTTAAAACAAAATCGCTTCTGCTTTTTTTTTTTTTTATCCGGTCAACCAACTCACTCACGTGACTTACGAGAGTTTAAAATCGACCAAAGCCTAAATTAAATTTTCCGGGAACAACAACAACAACTTCGTTAATTTTTTTTTTTTTCGAAAACTTTCCTGTAGTACCCGAAAAAAGAATGATTATCATTATCATCATTTTCACTTTTGTGCAACGGGAATGAATCATTGCGTATTCATTCCAGGTTTCAACCCGCGATGATTCCAGGAAGAGAGAGAGAGAGAGAGAGAAAAAAAAAAAGGTGCGCCGCCGTTTCAAAAGTTATTTTCTTTGTTTTTTTTTTTTTTGAATTGCTCTCCATCGATCGTTCCACTTTTTTCCAGTATGACCGAAATCATTTCCGTTTTTAATCTCTCCGCATCCTGGAAATTTTAATTTCCGAATTCCCGCATTTCACTCCCCCTCCCCCCCTTTTTTTTAGTTCACTTTTTGTTTCACGAAATGCTTTTTCGAAATTGCGGCATCAGAAATATCTTTATTGTTTTTGCTACTGCTGCTGCTGCTGCTGCTGCTGTTGCTGTTGTTGTTGTTGATGATGATGTAGTTGTTGTTGATGATGTTTTTGTTGTTGTTTGTTTTTGTTGTTGTTGTTGTGCGGTTGTTGTTATTCTCACACTTACTCTCCACAAAAAATTAGCAGGATCACATTTGAAAAACATGATAAAAAAAAAAAACGTTTCATACTTTTTTTTTGTTAATGACGTCACGTCACTTTTAAATTAACCCGTGATTTTTTTTTCTTTCGGAAAAAAAAAAAAAAAAAACATCAGGAAAATCAGGGAAGAGTTTTCCCGTTTTTTTCTTCTTCTTTTTCTTCCTCCTCCTCCTCTTTAAATCTCATCGTCATTAATCAAAAGCATTTTGGATAAAAAGGCAAAAAAAAAAAAAAAAAAACTTTTGTCAAATGAAAAATTCAACCATCATGTTCTTCTTCTTTTTTTCCTCCTTTTACTACTCCCTCCCCAACAACCACCACCACCCACCCACCCATTCACCCTCCCGATTGTTTCTTTACAGACAAATACTTATTATTTTCTTAAAGAAAAAAAAGTTTTAATAAGGGAAATAAAAAAAAAAAAAATTCCCCCCCCCCAAATCTTCGCGAATCCTATAACCGCAATCGCGACTGACTATAGGCGTGAAATACGCACGTAAGTGCGTAAGTGCGTGCGTGGCGTCCTCTTCTATTTTTTTTTAATCATTTTTATTACCTCTCCATTCTAGAATCTTTTTTTTTTGCGAACGTCGATCGCCTTTTTTCGGTCTTGTGGGAAAAATAAAAAAAAACCGTTACTTACGATGAGAAACACGTTCTTCGGTTCGGTGGGGGGGGGAGTTAAAAAAATTTAATTCGAAAACTTGATTGCAATTTTTTTTTTTTTTTTTTTTTTAAATTGCATTTTTTATGACGATTTTCTTTATGCATTTTCTTTTAACGCAACTTCGAAGCCCCCCCCCTTTTTTTCTTTCCTTTTTCTTTCCTTTTTCTTCCATAAGAAAACGCGTTCGTTTTCGTTTCGAGAGTTATTGTAAAAAAAAAAAAAAAAACTTTTGTGCACCTGTCGACATCCCCGGAATAATTAATGTTCTTCCCACCTCCTTCCTTCCTTCCTCACGTCCCTCCTTCTTCTTTTCTTCCTCCCTTCCTCACGTCCCTCCTTCTTCCTTCCTTCATTTCTGTCTTCCCTACTTTCCGCACCGACATTTTTTATGCAAAACTTGTGCGTCTCTTCCCTCGATTTCCCCGTCGGTAAGATGAATACGCGTTTCATCCTTTTGATTATTTTCATTTCCTCCACAAAAAATAATTTTCCCAATCGCTAAATTTAATTATTATTATTAATATTAACTTAAAGGCAGAAAAAAAAAAAAAAGAAAGAAAAGAAAAAGAAAATTGAAAAAAACCCGCATGATATTTTATCAATGTATTGAATTTTGACGCTGGAAAATTACTTTTCAAATATTATAATGATAATGATAATAATTTAAATTTAATTTTAGCACCAAAAAAAAAAAATACGGATCGTTATCAGACAGCAAACGAAGGGGGTAAAAAAAAAAAAAAAAATAAAATGGCGGAGTAAAAAAAAAAAAAAAAGTCGACTTGATCGCTTGAGTAGTTTTCCTTCTCATCCCGCAACAACAAGATTATTCATTCATTCTACTCTAGAGAGAGAGAGAGAGAGAGAGAAATCCTTTGAATCACGGAAATGTGACGACTTTGTGACCGTTTCCGGTGGGAAAAAGGATTTCCTCCGAGGGTACCTGACGACACATGTGACATTTCAATATGATACCCTCTCCGTTGGCTTTTATTTGCATTTCGCATTTATCGCAATCCGCGCAAACTATGCTACCCTTTTTGGGTTCCGTTTTCTCGCACATTTTCTTATCGCTTTGCACGAATTCGATTTTGAGGAATTTATCGCACGTCGATGCCGACGTCGACGTCGGCGACGGCGACGACGACGACGACTTTTTTCTATTAGATTCTAAAACTTTTTCATTTTTTTTATCGCACGATTCGTTTGAATTCGTTTGAATTTTTTTCGATTCGGCACACGGAGATTTGACTTGTTGAGCGGTCGTGGCGGTAGTCGTGGCGAAAGCAGTGGTAGAAGAACCGGCAACTCCTTTAACTTTTTCCATTTCTTCCGCTAAATTTTTTGCCTTATCTTGACATCCGCATTTTTCTTCGTAGTCGATTTTCACCGGAAGAGGTTTTTTAAACGAATAATCCTGTGAATTCTCGTGCGGATTTTTGTAAAACGGAATCGTGTTGTTTTCCAATCTCCGGCAATTACGAATCGTAACTTTAAACGATGATGATGAAACAAAATGGCGGCAATGGATGCGATGGCAATGACGACGACGACGACAACGACGATGACGCAAAACATACACATACAATTAAATAAATAAAAAATTAATTATCGTAATAATAAGTAGTTTTCCCTCCCTTTTCAACATGACGTCACAATAACCTTACCCTGTTCTCCAGAGATTCCTTTGATTCCATTTTTCCCGGAATAATCGATGGGTGCGAACAACATCAACAAAGTGAAAAAAATACTCAAGTGACCCATTTTATTTATTTTTTTTTCGGGGGGGGCGGAAATTTTTCAGAATTACATCAACAAAATTTTAATACAATTTCGAACCAAATATTTTCCTTTTATTTTTTTTCCTTTTTTCCTTTTTCTTTTTTCCTTTTTCCTTTTTTTTTGTTTTTTTATAATTTTTTTATATTTTGTATTTTAGTCCGATATGTTATAATCACGTCATTAATTTTGTTTGATTTTGATGATTTCGTTTCCAAAAAAAACAAATTTTTTCTCTTCTTTTTTGGTTTCACATTTAATTTAATAATAAATGATGATGATGATGATGACTAATAATAATAATAATAATGATGATGATGATAGGACCGGTGATAAATTTTTCGAAAAATCAAAATATTTACGATTACGCCGTTGACGTTGACATTGATGTTGCGTTTTTTTTTTTTTTTTTTTTGTTTCGAACGAATTTTTTTCTTTACTTTAATTTTTTAACGCGGAACAGGTGATATTTACCATTTTCATTCAATTTTCTCTCTCTCTCTCTTTTTTTCATATCTCTCTCTTACTATTTTGGATAATTTAAAAAAAAGAGAAAACAATATCAATCTTTTTTTACTCGCGAAACTTTCAAACTTTCAAACCGCGAGCGATTAAATAATTAATAAAATTTTAACCGTCGCTGCAGCCGCCGCCGCCGCCATTTTGCGATACCCTAAGCAAATTTAATTTAAAAAAAAAAAAAAACAATAATAATAATAATAATGATAAAAGCACGCACACACTAATTAGAAGAAGCGTATTCCGTTCATCGTGGGAGCATCATTGGGAGCCATGCCACTACATTCAATAAAAGGAAATTCAAAGAAGATTTTTAAGAATTTAAAAGAAGAAGAAATCGTACAAGAAATGACGTAATCGAAAGCAGAAGCACCAACGAGCAAATTCGAGCATTTATCCCTAAGGAATCGTCGGGTAGAAACCTGGAATAAATGCTAATAAAAACTACGACAAGTACAAAACATTTTGTCGTGTTTAAAAATCAACAACAACAACAACAACAACAACAACAACAACAACAATAATAATAATAATAATAATAATAATAATAATAATAATAATAATAATAATAATAATGATAATGTTTTCCTTTTGCAACAACGATGATGAATCGAATATTTCAAATTTTTTTTCTTTCTTACGGTAAAAACGCGAATTTCAATTCGTACTCGTCGTTTTCTCAAATTAAAAACCAAATTCGCGGTTCAAAGTTCAAAAAGGTAAAGTAGGTAAAAATCAATTTGATAACGAATTAATATTTCGAACGACGCGACTTATTTTTCCTTTCTATCTTTCTATCTTTACCAATAATTTAACTTTTCGATAACGAGAAATCTTATTAAATTAATAATAATAATATTATCTACGGGTATTAAAAAAAAAAAAAAACCTCTCCCAGCAACTTCCTTCATTCGTTTCGTATTTAGTACGATTCTTTTTAATTGTCTTTCTTCGTTTCCCCCCCCCTCTTTTTTTTTCCCGTTCGTCGAAAAGGATACGGAGGAAAAAGACAACGACGGCAGCCATTTTGAAAAGATTCTCCTTCAAAAACAAATAATTTTACAAAACGATATTAGAAAATCACTTTAAAATTCCTTCACCCGAATTTTCCTTTTACGTAATCGTTTAATTAACGTAAAATATTCAAATTACAATAATAATAATAATAATAATAAAATTTTTTTAATGAATTTCCAATCTCAAACAATCGATTCCATTCAACGTTTTCAAATAATAATAATAATAATAATAATTATGTAAAATTCAGAGTCCAATGAGAAAAACAAACGAAATGAAGAAATAATGATGATGATGATGATGATGATGATGATGATGATGATGTATTATTATTATTATTATTATTATTATTATTATTATTATTATTATTATTATCATCATCATTATTATTTTTTTATTTCATTTCAAAACGAGCCGAATGAAAAGAGTAAAAAAAAGGAAAGAAAAAAAAACAGAAGACCTAAAAATACTCCATTCAACCTTTCTTCTCTTTCTCAGAATAAAAATAATAATAAATAAAACAATAATAATAATAATAATAATAATAATAATAATAATAATAATAATAATAATAATAATTAGAGAGAATCGAAACCTAATTGAAATTTCCCGAAGCAGTCAACGAATAAAAAAAAATAAAATAAAATGCGACGGAAAAGTGAAAATAATCCATCGGCGATTATCGCCGTCAAATTATAAAAAAATAATAATAATAATAGTGATAATAATAATGGTAACAAATTCGGCGGATCCACCGTAAAAAAAAAAATTTCACGGAAAAAGCAAAGCAAAAGGAAAAGTATAAGGAAAAGCGTGGGGACAAAAAAAAGAAATTTAATTATCATCATTATTATCAATATCATTATCATTATTACTATTTCAAAGTAATTAATTTTTAAAAGAAACTTCTCGCAACGAATAAGAATTTCAACCCCTAAGAAAAACTAAAAAAAAAAAAAAACCCCAAATGCGAAATGAAACGCGGTTGAAAAATCAACCGTTTGAAAAGTGATAAGGCCCTTATTTTCTAAATTAAGAACTCTGAAAATGAGAAAAGAAAATGACGACGATGACGATGACGATGATGATGATCATGATGATGATGATGATGATGACGACGACGACGAAGACGACGATGATGATGATGATGGAGGAGGAGGAGAAGGACGACGACGGCGACGACGACGACGAGGAGAAAAAGATTTTTTTCTTCTTCATCTTCATCATCATCATCATCATCTTCATTTTCTTCTTCTTTTCCTTTTTTTTTGCACGAGCGAAAAGTAAAAGTGGAAATCACCCTGGCAACCTTACGTCACACGTTTTCCATCTCTATATATCTCGAATATTATAATTTCGAATCGGAATTCATCAAAAAAAAAAAAAAAAGAAACAAGAAAAACGAATTTATTTTACAATGGTATGTCTACGCATCCCACTTGCAAAAAAAATTATTTAAAATTCGAAGCAGAAGAAAAAAAGTATGTATTAATGTTGACACGACGATGACGACACGGAAAACGAAGCCTCCCCTTTTTCACTGCCATCGCGACACACATTGTGATTTAACGAAATCGTAGAATGTATAGAAAAAAAATTTCCAAACGCAAAAGTGACGTCATTAAGAGAGAGAGAGAGAGAAAGAGAGAATCGTAAACGATGAATCAGGCAAGGTAAGTACTAAGAGAAACGAACAAACAAACAAACAAACAAACAAGCAAACAATCGAACAAACGAACAAACGGGGGGAGGGGAAGGAGGCTTATTTGCAAACGTCATAACGAGTGTCGTCGCGCACGAAAGACCAATGCCAAATAATAATAATATTAATAATTCGGAAAAGTGTTTTTCGGAAAAACCGCGTCGAATCCGCGTTTGAAAATTAAAAAAAATTATAATTAATTATTTATTTTTTGAATTCATCGCTCGACGATAATTAATATTAATAATAATAATAATAATAATGATGATGATGATGATAGTGATGTTCGAAACATTAATAATTCATGCGTTTTCCATGTTTAACAATAACAATAACAATAATAATAATAATAATAATAATAATTATGTTCGATAATAAACCTCTTCGCGGTTTTCATTATTATTTTTTTTTTTTTTAATTATCAAAAAATCACATCTTGAATTTTAATAATTCGAATAAATACATTCAAAACCGATCGTTACTTTATTATTATCATTATCATTATTATTATTATTATTATTATGGACGTAGCAATTATAAATTCTATTTGTTATTAATAATGTGAAGAAAACCGGAATGAATGAGTCAGAATTTCATTTTCCGAGCTAAAGAATATAAGTGACACAAGAAAATGCGAGAGAAAAAAAGCGCGCGAAAATTTGAAATTTTCACAGAAATTCAAAAGAAAAAGAAATTCATTCAAAAAGAAATTGTAATCATACGACGTATATTTAAATTTCACAAATCGCGTCATTTTTGATTTTTATTTATTTTTTAAATGGTACACAATCAATCGAAAACCGATTTAATTTTCGTCGGAAAATAACGACGCGGAGAAAAATAATAATGATAAAAAAATCCACTCGAAAAAAAAGTAAATAATAATAATAACAATAATAATAAACGCCTGGAAAATCAAACGGAGAGAGAGAGAAAAAAGAGGAAAAAGTTTTTGTCGTCGTTTTCCTCGTCGTCGTTGTCGTCCATTTTGAAAATTTCATTACATTGAACTAAATTCATTATTTATTAATTTATGAGCGTGAAAGTGAGAGAGAGTCAGTCACGACGACATTTTATTAATTTAAATAAATAAATAAATAAATAAATAATAATAATAGTAATAATAACGAATGAAGAATTATTTTCACATATTTAGCGAGAGAGAGAGAGAGAGGAAAACCATGCATAAAAATTATATTAATTTTTTTTTTTTCTTTTTTATTTTTCCGAAAGCATTCCTCCACTCCACATAAAAAAAAAAAAAAAAAATAATAATAATAATAATAATAATAATAAATTTTTTTTTTTTTAATAAACCGAACCTTTTTATTTATTTTCTTATTTACGAAACGAACAAAAAAAAAAAAAAAAAGAATGTCGACCGAGAAAAATTCAAAAAAAATTCAAAAAAAATTGAAACGACGAAAGTTATTTTTCATTTTTAATTTTTCCCCACAAGAGCAAAAAAAATTAACAATAATGATAATAATAATGATAATAATGACAATGATGATGATGATGATGATGATGATGATGATGATGATGATGATGATGATGATGATGATGATGATGATGAGAAGAACGATTTACGAAAACCATTTCCGTACAGCAAAGCGTAAACAAAAAAAAAATATATATATATATAAAAATTAACATATTTTACGCTCTCATTTGTTTCTTTCTGCTGCTGACACGTCACAATAGCGTCGACAAATAATTTAAAAAAAAAAAAAACAATTGTTAATTT